CTCACCCTGAGCATGCAATAGCCTCCCAAGTGGGTGCAAGTTACTCTAGGGGACACATATTCTTTTCTCTTCCTTGCGTTTCCATAAATCTGACTTTAATGAGCATCAAGGGCAGCCTTAAACCAATACCTTTGCCTTGGCCATTGGAAAGGGTTCTAGAAGAACTGGTGCATGGCTCACTTATTTCAGAGATTCTTGGTGGGTGTCGTCCCCCACAACCCCAGCCTTCTGCCAGGACACACAGCCTCTGCAGGTTCGGTGTTGGTGATGGAGCTCCCCAGGCTTTGTGAGACTGTCCCAACCGCTGCTGGACAAGCTCCCCCCAGCTGAGAGTCTCTCCTCTGTGCTTGCCACTTGCCATGCATTCTCTAACTCAACCAGGTAAGTGTTCTTATGATTCCCATATTCAGATAAAGGAACTTTGGCTTAGAGAGGTGGACTCATTTGTCCAAAATCACCATAGCTTAGAATTGGCAAAGCCAGGATTGGAACCCTGGACTCTTAACTGGAACAGGGTTGCAAACTACAATCTCCACGGGGGCCAGGCACCTGGGCACAGAGACACTGCACAGGTGTAGAAAAGAGGGAGGGAGGCAGCACCTGTGATGAACCGTGGGGCAATGCCTTACTCAGAGGAGGCAGCTGTCACCCAGGTCCCATTAATTGTTCCATGAGAGAGTAGAAACCTGGGTGATCAGACCTTCAGATGTTTCAAGACAGGTTATAAATATAGATGTATAAGCATTACCTCTCAATTTGTATTGATTGCTGATGCACTTTTTGAAAATCACGGTTCAGGCCAACACTGAGTGGGTCTCTTAACCACAAGCATGTGACAATGCCCATTGTAACTCTACCCCAGAGCACAGGATCTTAACCACCAGGCTTTGCTGTCTTAAAATGATCAGATAGGTCTATCTGTGGTGAATTGCAATGTTTCTTCCTGTATTTCCATCTACTGGCCTCCGTTCTGCCATCAGGAGCAAGAGGGATTCCAAAACACTATTCTCCTGCCCTCTTCTCTAGAACTAAACACCCCCAACCCCTGCAAGCATTGCCTTTTGGCTTGGTTTGTAGGAGCTTTGCCATGTTGGCCCCGATACTCCAGGCATGCCCCAGACTCACTCCCGCCTGCTCGTGTGACACTCAAAATCCATCCATTGCTTGGAACTGAGCCCTACCAGACATGTCTGGTCTGTGCCATGCAGAGTAAGGTCGGCTCCCTGCCCCACCAAGATGCATCCAAAATGGAGCCCAAAGTCACTTGGTTTCCCTGGCAGCTGAGAATTTGGAGAGATCCCGGCTCCTCTCCCCAGTGGAGTGGGGGGGCTTCTCATTCTCCACAGTGATTGTCACTGTTGTGGGGAGTGACCTCCACAGCCACCAGACCTTCCCCACCTTGCTCCTGGATAACTCCCCCTGCCCCACCCAGTCCTTGCAGGGACTGCTCCAGGGTCAGCCCTCCAACACCCATGGCTTTCAGGCCCATACCTGGCTGACCTTCCCTTCAGAGAAGACAGCCCATGGCACCAAGAATCCATCTCACTAATTGTAAAACAAACCTCACCCTCCTTCCCAGTGTCACTCTTCAATAATATTTGGGGGATTTTCCATGATTCATCACATCTACTCTAAGATTCACCCCACATTTCCTGATGCTCACTGCCCAAAACATACCATGTGCAGACTAAAAGTCTGACTATAGCCACCTGTGGGTCAGAAGCAAAGGGTGACGAGTTCAAAGGTGAGACCCCAGAAGGTGAGAAGAATAACTGATGGCTCAGCTGAAATTTCCACACTCAACAGCTGTGGGCTTCACCACCTGCCACAAAGTGGGGTGCTCTTTGGATTCCAGTCCCACTGCTCAACTTCCCTTATGAAACGGGGAAATGCAAATCTAGTTGATGCTATGGAAACTGAGAAGAGCAAAGTGGCCTATCTGCTCTCACTCTGCATTCTGGCCCTTCCCGTGGCCACTGGTGTGGGACTGAGTAGAGCAGCTGGGTTGTCCCCTGTGTGGTGACAGATGTAGCTTCTCTGGCACAGATTCTCGGAAAGGTCCCAGCTGAGAAGGTCTCCTGGTGGCCAAGTGATCCTCCCAGCTGCAAGCCCAGCGACGAGGAATTCCAGCTGGTGCTAGTTGATGAAGAGCAGGACTGGCTTTGTCCCTTGGCTACAGGACCTGTCTGTCCCACTCACTAGACTCAGGATGTAATTCATCATCTGAGTTACTGTGGAGCGCCTGAGCCCTCAGCCCAACAAAACCACTTTAGGAAAAGCAGATTTCTGGGAGGGCACCACGACCATGACTGAAGAGCATCAGCTTTTCACTGAATATGGTGCAGAGAGGTCCTGGAGCTGCCTGTGTGCCCACCTAGTGCCTAGGCATTCAAATTGACAGGGGTCGGTGACAAAAACACTCCACCAAGTTCATACCCACATCATCTCTGCCTGGAGTCTGCAACAGCTTCCCATCTGGTCTCCCCACCTCCTGCACTGCTCCCTCCGGTCCATCCCACACTCCACCCCCACCCCCACCCCCGCAGTCAGAATGATCTTCCTTAACCGGAAAACCCAATTATGTCACCCTTCTACTTAAAATCTTTTAAGGCTCCCTACCTCCAAAGTCAAGTCCAAATAGCCTTAGCAGAGCCTTCCAGACAGACTATGAGATCTGGCCCCTGCTACCTACCCAGCACCTCCCTTGAATTTCCTGAACATTGTGCTCCAGTCCTGATGAATGCCTTAGTTCCCTTGACCTTCCCCGCTGTCTCCCTGCATGCTTTCTCCAGTACTGATTCCTCTTCCTGACTCTCCACATGGCTAACGAGCTCTTACTGGCCCTTCAGTGCTCAACTCCTTGTGACCGAGTCTAGAAGCCTTCCATGGACACCCGTGCCCCTTCCTCTCTTTGCTCCCTCTCTCCTGGCATTTCTCCTGTTCTACAGAATTGGCTGTGCACTAACCTGTGTCCCCATTAGGCTTGGAGGGCTTTGAGAACTGACACTGAGTCTTATCTGTGTGTTCCCAGTACCTATAGGCCAGTCAGGGATCCACACGTTGCAATGAATGAATGAATGAATGAATGAATGAGAAGATTGCACCTTCTCAGTAAGCTTCAGAAGGCATTGGGTTTAAAAATCCAATCTGTCAGACTTTTGGATTTTATAATGTCCTCCTTCCAGATTTGTTCACCAAAGAGTTTCGGAGGCACAGGAGATCTATATTATTTCACCTTAAGCTTCTAGCCAGGGTACCCTCCCCACTCATTCCCACACATCACTCATATAGCTTCTTCTTTCTCCCTTCAGCCCATCAGACGCTATTAAGGGCTTGATGAATGTAGGGTGCAGATCATGGGAGTGAAAAAGGAGTCTTTTTTTTTTTAAGAGAAAGACCTGTCTTGCCCTCCCTTCCTAGCTGACAGGAAACAGAGATTGCTGGTAAAGCAGGTCACCCCAAACCTGAAACCCAGGGAGTGCTTACCAAGAAAGGAAGTGCTGATGGGGCACACAGTACCGTGAGCCGCCATCCGGTGTCAGCCCGGGAGACTTCCTAGAAGTGAGCTTTCAGCTGGGTTTTCAAGAGGGTGAGAGAAAAAGAGGGTCAGCAAATATGAGCTTGGCTGTGCAGGCTTTAACAGCCCAGGAATAACATAAGCTAAGACAGAGAGCACAGGAGACAACCAGGCATAGGGAGGTGAGCTTTGATGGGGAGGCATCTTCAGGGCTGGACAGGGGATTCTGAGCCTCCCTAAAAGCAATATGGCATCTGTAAGGGAATGGAGGTGAAAGGAAGGTGTTCTGGGAAGGCCCCTGAACAAGGACCCTGCAGGTGAGGGGCTGGAATCTGGGCATTGGACATGGAAGGGAAGGGGCCAATCCCAAAGCACTAATTATAACTCCCAAACAGCACACCAATTCCAGAGGGACGGAGGTTGGGTCCCTTCCTTCTCCCATGCTTCAGACAGAGACCCTGCGCGGTGGTAGTTTGACAAATCCCTGGCCAGCCATAGGCCCCCCAGTCCTCGGGCTTTGTGCTGCCATCTGGTGGTCAGACGAGGGAAGACCATTCTTGGTTCCAAGACTCGCTGCCGGCTGTGTGACCAGGGAGGGGTGTTGTGGGTGGAAGTTGGAGCTCTTTGCTGAGGCTCTTTGGTGGGTGAAGGGGAAGGTGATGACACTGGGATCCTCGAGTCCTTACTTTCTCTAAAAGGTGCAATTTATTCGCACTTTCGGTTGTTGTTGTTGTTGTTTTTTGCCCACCAATTAGCACAGGGCCTCCTAGCACAGAGTAGACACTTAGTGTGTTGTTTTTCTTAATAACGGTAATGAATTAACAAGTGTTGATTGCCTACCATGCACCAGGTGCTCATATATAGTGTTTAAAATTTTCCTCATAACAATCCTGAGATGAGTATATTATGATTTTTTCCATAAAAGAGGGAACTGAAACTGAGCAAGCCACTGAGTCACTTGGTAGGTATTTACTGAGCACCAGGATGTCATATTGTGCTAGACACTGGGGACACGGAGGTGAATGCCCCGGGTAGGATCTGCCTTTCTAGAGCTAACTGCCTTGAGAGAAAAGAGCCATTATGCAAATGATGCCATTGATTTTAACTGTGATTAATACCCTAAAAAGGAGAAAAGTACAGAGTACTTGTAGATGTTAACTCTGGCGTCCACTGCATTACACAGATGAATACTCTTCTTTTTGTCTTCAGCTTTTACTCCCCTACTTTTTAAAAAAAAATATTTTATTGAGGAATTGGGGAAGGGGAGCAGTGTTGGGGAATTGGGGAAGGGGACCAGCCAAGTTGTTGCCCTTCAGTCTTAGTTGTGGAGGGCACAGCAAGCTCAGCTCCAAGTCCAGTCGCCATTCGGCAGCTTGCGGCAGCTCAGCTCAAGGTGCCATGTTCAATCTTAGTTGCGGGTGGGGGTAGCCCACCATCCCATGCGGGAGTCGAACCAACAACCTTGGTTAGGAGCACGTGCTCTCACCAGCTGAGCCATCCTGCCACCTGTTGGCAGCTTAAGTGCAGTTCACTGGCCCATATGATATTTGAACCAGCAGCACTACTGCTCTTAACCAACTGAGCCACTTGGCCGGCCCTCCCCTACTTTTGATTCTGTCTCCTCCTATTCTCTTTCCCCTCTTCCTAAGTAATTCCTCTTCTCTGCCAATTCTATACCTTCCTGTCAGTCATCATCTTCATTTATTGAGTGCATGCAAAAATGAATAAATGAATGAATAAACACATTATGTCACAAACATTTGTCGCTCATCCACCATGGGTCTGATACTCAGTGTGCTTACGAAGACATGGCTCCTGCTCTTGAGTTGGCCACAGCCTAGTGAGGAGAAAAACATGACAACAAATCACCAAATATTGAATAAACACATAGGAAAGACAGAACAATTGTGCCGAGGAAGAGGCACCTACGTGAGCCTACTTTTCAGGGTGATGTGCACGTGTTAGCAGCATCGACCATCCGACCATCACACCAAATCCTCGGCTCTTTGATAAATGTTCTACGGCGGTACCTCCATTTATGTTGTGTCAGAGACGTGGGTGTCCTTGCTGATTTAATTTTCTGGTTTCTTGAGACTTTTTAATGTTGATAATGAAAACGCAGTTCCCAAACAAGTGGTTCCAAAACTTGGCTGCCTTTTGGGAATCACATGGGGATTTTTAAACATCAGCGATGCTAAGCTGCATCCCAGACATTCTGATTTAATTGACCTGAAATGTAACCTGATTACCAGGAATTTACCAACTCCCCCAAGAGATTCTAATGTGCAGACAAGTTTGGGACCCACCCTTGGAGATCCTCAGGGACATGGCCTGGGAGATGAACAGAATCAAATGTGAGTGAGGAGAGAATGTGAGGTTCTACAGCCAGGGACGTGCTCCTGAGTTTGAAGGTCGAGGCCATGACTCCCAGAGGAATTGGCTCTGTTGAACTCTAAATCTATCAACAGCATTGGGAAGTTGTGTCTGCTCATTCAACAACCAGTTAGCACTCACTCTGAGCATAAGCCATCCATCTCTGTTCTCAAGGATCTGGTTGGGGGAGATGGGTCTCAACGTACATGTGACTCTTGTGTGATTGGTGATAAGATGTGGGAGGTCCAGGGTACCACAGGGGCACTGCAATGCGGCATTTGATCTGACCTCCAGTATGCTTTCAAGTCATCTCTTCTTGTCTAGTCCTCTACAGCGACAGCTCAACCAACAAAAGTTTATGGGACATCTGTTATATGTCACGTGCCAGGTGCAAGGCACTGGATGAGACCCCCCTAAGGCAGCGCAGAGATAAATAACATGGCTTTCCTCTCAAGGAGCTCACAGACTGGGCTGAACGGAGTCTTTCTTTTTCATCCCTCTCATACAAAACAGCCTGGGGTGAATCCTGTTACCAAGTAGAAACCAGTGCTGTAGGAATTCGGAGGATGGTCAGGTCAGCTCTGATACCCAGGGGGGCTCTTCACAGCAAACCTTACAAGGCGGGTGGGATTTCAGAGGGTGAACACGTATGAAGGAGGAAGCACTTCACTGCTCGCCAATTTTCCTAGATGCACACATTTCTCTCTTTTTAAAAAAGTCTCTGGATCAAAACTGAGATGTCAGCTCCCAATCAGGGCAACCCGTATGGAAGACAAAGTTGGGAATTGCTTTGGGGCCTCTGCATGACCCCTGCTCACTAACCCTCCCAGCTGCCTTTCCCCATCAGGGCACACATCAGCCTGTGATCAATTAAAAACCCCTTCAACTACCAGCACCATCCCCAAACAATAAGGCTTCATGGGTTACAGCACTTGGGAACTAGCTGTGGCTTTAAGAAAAAAATCCCATTTCAATCATCCATATCTAACCGAATTCAAGAAAAGGGGAAACTCAACATTGCCCAAGAGTGGTGCCTCTAAATATAACTGTTTGCCTCAACGTCTGTCACTACTTTCAATACCTTCTTTCCCGTTCCTGTCCTTGCTATTTCACTTCCTGTCCACCTCATAGGAGTTTTTTGTCTCTCTTACTTCCGCATCCACCCAAGCCTGGCACTACTAACATTTACTATAGTTAAATTCGTCTTTAGCTAGCTCTAATTTTATTTTAGTTTTTTTCTCCTACCTTTTCTTTTCCTTTTCCTTCCCTATTTTCTTTCTTCAGACTTAATCAATACACATTTATTGAGCATCTACTAAGTGTTGGGTTCAGTTATGGAATATATAGAGAAGCCCAGGAACTAGTCTTGGTCCTGAAGCCCTTGTGATCTAACTGATCCCATCAGTTAGGACAAATGAAGGTGGGTAAAGATAACATGGCATTAGGGATGGTGTTGTTGGTATAAACGAGAGGCGTGGGTGGCTAGGACTTAACATTTCAAAAAAAAGGGGGACTTCAACATGGGTTAATGGATAGAATCTGCAGCTACACAGACTTTGGGGCTGGCCGTTAACTGAGCACTTACTATGCACTAAGCATTTTGCTGAGTGTTTCCTTTCCAGTGTCTCATTTAGTCCTTACCAACTCCATGAAGTAGGCATTTTTATTATTCGCATTTTACAGGTGATTAAATTAAAGCTTCTGTAGACGACGTAGTTTTCCAAAAGCACAGCCAGGAAGGAGCTGAGTTGGGAGTCCAGCCCAGGCCTGAGTGACCCCAGACACCAAAGTTTGTTTGGGTCATGGTGCTGCGCCGTCTCTGGCTTTAGTTTCCTATGTGTGAAGCAGGGATGACAGTCATCCCTCCTTTATATGGCTGGTGGGCAGATTCAATGACATGCGTTAAAACACCTACTGCAGTCCCCAGCACGGTAGGTGCCCAGTAAACGGTGGTTATCACCATCATTCTCATCCTTGTTACATTCTTGTTATTATGAAAGCTTCACAGGGGAAGCGGGAAGAGGCCCTTGGGCATTACTGATTAAGGGGCTGGGCGCTGGCATTCCATGGGGGGACATGGAAAGCACAAAGACTCCGGTCCCAGAGCACACGGTGTTCTCAGGGACACAAGACCAGCCTGGTCTTCTGGAGCCTGAGGGCTTGGAGGACTGAGGGGTGAGGTAAAGCTGGGAAACAGACTCCTGAGTTAGCTCGTACTTGATCCTCTGTACTCTAGAATGATGTTTCAAAGCTGTCGTGTGTGTGCATATTTTAACACCCACTAATGGTGAATTTTGAAAATAGTTTTTTGTTGTTTGTTTTGGATGGTAGTATTTCGATCAAAATGATAAATAAAAAAAGATACATGTTGAGACGTCTCATTCTCACTCTACCCCGACCACTTTCTTTAATCCCTGAAGGAAACCACTGAGATTAACTTGTGTGTCCTTCCAGTATTTCTTTGTACACACACACACAAATGTACATTTTTACTCCCCTGACTTTTATACTCAAAAGGTAGCATACTAAATATACTGTTTGCACCTTGCTTTTTCACTTTTTAATATATAAATAGCTTCTGTTTCAATATCTAAACATAGAGATATGTCATCTCTTTTTACAGAAGCATAGTATCCCCTGTGTGTTTATACCATAGTTTATTTCACCAAATCCCCTTGTGATGGACACTTGGGTTCTGCCCAGCCTTTCACCATTACAGATCATTCTGCAAGGAATGACACTGTGTATGTCATTTTGATGTACTCAGGTGTATCCGTAGGATAAATTCCTAGGAATGAGATGCTGGGTCAAAGGGTAAATGCATTTGTAGTTTTTAAAACTGTTGTCAAATTGCTCTCCATGGAAGTCGAACCAATTAACACTGCCAAGGACAATATGTGAATGAGGGGGCATGTTTCTCCAGAGGCCAGAAAACAAAGTGTATGGTCAAACTTGAATTTTGGCCAAATTGATAAGTCGAAAACAATCATGTGTCAGTGTGGCCTTACTACACATTTCTCTTTCTTCTGAGTGAGGGAGTGTATTTTTTTCACATGGTCAGAGGCATCTGCATTTCTTGGTCTGTGCACTGACTCGTCACGGTCCATTTTTCTAGTGTGTTGCTTCCCTTTTGCTTTATTGATGTCTCTCAGCTCTTTCTATATGAAGGAGATTAGCCCTTTGTCTGGATTATGAGTTGCAAATATTTCCCCTAATTTATCATTTGTCCTTTGAATTTCCTTACTGTCTGTCTGTCTGTCTGTTTTTGTTTGTTTATTACCACGCTTCTCCAGTGGGGAACTGCTGCTTTTCGTAGCCAGCCACACTGGGGTAGCGGTGCCTCTCCCAGGCTTGGAGGTGAGGCGAGCCGTGACAAGAAACCCACGGACTCCCACTGTTCTTACCAGAAGTTCAACGCTTTTTTACGAATAAACATTTCTCAGTGTGTTATTTGTTCTTGATGAATTTCCAGGGTTCTGAAATAATTGTTTCTGACAATTTCGTCCAGTTTTGACATTATTTTTGGATGAGAGGTTCTACCAGCCTTCTTTACTCTGCCAAAGCTGGAAACCCTACCAGCTGTTGCTTTTAATGGCGTTATAACCACGCTGTACATCCACCCGAATGTAACCGGGTTAAAGCATTATGCTTCCTGGGAGGGCTATAGTTACAATCATCCCACTGATCCATTTTTTATGAAAACTTGTAAAAAATGAGCTGACAAATCCTTTTCACCCAGCAAAGAACAGCGTTCTAAGGAGTGGGACTTGGCAGGATAGAATGAGTCAGGGACCAAAGCCAGTGTCCACTCTCAGAAATTTCCAGAAACTGGTGTCCAATGGGGCCATACTAACTTGCTCATTTTAGAATTTCAAAAAGCCCGAGGACAAGTCACACCTTTACTTGTAACAAGGCTGCCCAAGCAAAACAGAATGTCAAACCACTTTACTTGGAGCTGAATTCTCACACGTCAGTGAGGCAGTCCACAGCCTCTCCTGCCGGCCAGAAGCTATGCTAGCCATTACCAGTGTCCATGTGGTTAGCAGTGGGTGGACACATGCATCGTAATATAATCAAAGCAGTTTGTTTTGCAGGCAAAATGCCCCCACACGTGGGGCACCTGAGTGTGGGTGGGGAGGATAATTTAAAAGGAAGTTTCAGTGGGAATGACCAAAGAGCAGGAGCTGTGAGGAAGATGGGAGTGCCTGAGAGACTGATTATACCACTTCAAATGCCGCTGTGACCTGATCCTGCACTCACCCCCACCCACATCCTCACCTCAGGACATCTGTTGGCTCGACCAGCAGTTCCCCACCACACTCCCTGCTCTGCCCGCCCTGCTCAGGCCACCATCTGGACCTCTGCCAAGTGACAGCCTGTCTTAGTGGCCCGGCGTTCAGCCCCTGAGAAGGGGCAGCGGGAAACACGGGCCAGCCAAGCCTGGGAGACAGAGCTTGCTTCCATCAGGAGGACATTCCACCAGTCACCCCAGCGGGCAGACCACAGCGTAAGGACCTGGGATCAGGGTGGGGTTGTGCACAGTGACTCCTTAGCAGGTGGGATGCTCCCAGGACCTCTAAGGCAATGTCCAGCACTGGGGGCCTGCCGGCCTGACCTGCCTGCACTGGACTCACCTGGAGGAGAAAAGAAATGGTCTGGAGGAGAAACAGGGAAGTGTGAGGACAGGGGGTGAGTCTGGATGCCAGAGGGGTCAAATGTGGTCTAGGGGCTGAGAAGTCTGATAGAAGCCTCCTGGCCCTGGGAACTCACTGATGAGTGCCTGACCCCCCCCTCTCCAGTCTCTGTTCTCAGAGACTGGACAAGCACAGCTCACAGCAGCATCTTTTGTGGCGGGGGGGGGTACATGGGACAATGGCCTCCTAGTTGGAGAGCAGGCCTAAGTCAGCCCTGAGAGGCTGGGAATGCTGTTCCTGGAGGGGGGCTGCTTAGAGGGGCTTGTGTTACTTCACCTCACTAAAGCTCCAGTCTCTGCATTCAGGTATTTGGAGAATGGGATTGGGGGGAGGTGGGATTGTTGTCAGAGACATAACCTCAGGTGACTGGGGTTTGGAGCTTGACAAATGGGAGAGGAAACCACTTTTTACCCTCAATTTTTTTTACCTGCCATTCCTTTTAAAAGCCCCCAGGACCTGGGTTAGTGAACATGCTGGGAGCCAGGTGCTGGTTTGGAAACACTGGCCTGCGGTGTTCCAGTTCCTTTCTCTGGCGTGCTGCGTTGGGGAGGATGGCTCGAGCTTCCCAGGTCGTTCCGCAGTGTACCCGTGCAGGTGGGTCTGGCGCCCTCTGGTGGCCAAGGGCAGCGTATGCGTCCAGCCCTTTCTGCAGAGCTATTTCCATCTTCTGGGCAGGGCCCGTGGGAACGAAGCCTGGGGATGAGAGCAGGTTTCATAGCTAAGACAAGAGAGCTTACGCCAAGCTATTACTACATGCTGGTTATTAGATGCTTCCTAGGTGCCAGGCACAGGATTACTAGAGTTATTACCACTCATTCGTTCGTTCATTCATTCCCCCAATATATGCCAGCCATCTCCTAGAAAGTCATATCTAAGCAGGAACCCCATAAAGGGAGGGAGCGAATCATAAGAACATTTGGGGAAAGAGTCTTCCAGGGTGTAGGGACAGTGAACGCACAGGCCCTGCCACAGTGATGTGCGTGCTGGGTTTGAGAGCCGGCAAGAAGGCAGCTGGCCCAGCCGCGTGACAGTGGGAGGGTGATTGGAAATGAGGGCAGACAGGTATCAGGGCACCGATGGTGCAGAGCTTTCCAGGCCCCAGAAGGACTGAGTTTAATTCTAAGGGTAGCGAACAACCATTGGACGTATGATGTTAGCAAATCACTCTGGTTTCTGTGCAGGGGTGGGGGGTGGGGGGGCATGGGTAGGAGTGGGAGGCCTGCTGGGAGCCCAGGTGAGAGATGAACATGTCTGGGACCTGGATTGCTTCTTGGAGGAGATAAGACATCAGATTCAGAATACATTTTGGAGGTAGAGACAATAGGATTCGATGATAGGTTAGTCAAAGGCTGTCTCCAGGGGTTTGGGCCTGAACAATTGGGTGAGAGTGGTGCTACTTAAAGGTATGGGGGACGGCCGGTTTTGGGGTCTGGGGGGAAAGGAGAGTGCCATTTTGGCTGTGCCAAGTTTGAGCTGCTTATTAGTAGTTTAAGTAACGACGTTACGTACGCCAGGGTAAGATTCTCCATCCTTTTCACCCTCGCCTTAAGTTTCTTTCATAACCCTCCCCGGTCTCCTTCTCATCAGAGGGCCACACCTCCCTCCCCTTACCTCCCTAAAGGAAAGCCCACCCAGAGCAATAACTCCAAACAAGAGAACAGAATGCATCCGTAATCTTTCATGGCCACCCCTCAACTGAATGACAAGGCAGAGAGCAGGCTGGGACTCTGGGCTCCTCAGACTCTCCAGAGCAGAATTAGAAGAGGAAAAAAAAGCTTTTATCACGAGCTTGCAGGTTGCTGTCCGTGTCCGTGTGGCTGGGCCCTTCCTACTGTAGGAGTGTGAGATCCTGGGATCCCGCGCACCACAGCGGGGAGTGGCGCACCCCTACCATCCAGGGGTCCTCCCTGTGCCTCCACCCCTGCCGCTGCCCAACAGAGTGAGCCAGGCTCCCAGGGCATCTTAGCCCCCAGCACCCAACACCTGCAGGCCTATCGCCCCTGCCAGCCAGTGAGCCCTGTGAGGGAGGCAGCTGCCACGGCTCCTTGCAGCCCCAGTGCCCGACGCTGCCTCTCCTGCCAGCTCAGGGTTCTTCACCTCGCAAACCTCGCTCAAAACTGCCCTGGCTTCCCCTCCCTTGGGCCCAAGTCTGGATACTGCGTTTTATCTCTGGACTACAGTCCTCTCTTCCAAACAGATGAATGGGAAGGACAAGACTACTTTGGATAAAACTCTAATGAGACTTTGCTATTTTTACAAGTATTATTTTTAGCTCTACAGATGCCACCAATAAATTATTTCTTCCTGCCTGAAGTAGAAGCCCTGACCCCGATATCGTACAAACATTGACCCTGAATGGGGACCCAGTGGTATTGGGCCCGGCCAGGTCCTGTGCTTCTGTGTAGGAAGGAGGGGAGGGCCACGGGACTCAGATGGAGGGTGGGGGGCAAGTCCTGTCAACAGAGGAGACGAGGGTGGCCGTGAAGCCCTGGCCTGGAGGCCGCTTCTGGAACACTGTTCTCAGGCCCCCTCCTTTCTCCATAATGTGGGTGTTCTAAAGACGCCTGTCCTCTCCTCACGTCTATGCTCTCATCCTGGAGTCTTGTTCTCCCTGCTGGCTTCAAATACCTCTCCATGATGATAACTACCCACTCTCCATCACCAACCCCTGGCCTCTTTCCTGAAAACAAGGCCAGCATTGCCGCCTGCCTCGTTGACCATGGACAGGCCTGTCATAGCAGCCCCACAAGCCCCCATATCTGCCAGAACTGCCCCCCACCCTGTGAGCTCCAGCCCCCAACACCAGTGTAAGCTTACACACAACACAACACAAACACAACACAACACAACACAAACGTGAACAGGCGCACATGACGCACTGCCCCTCTGAGCCCCTTGCTTGGCCGGTCTCCAGCCCACTCCCTCTCCCTCTCCCATCCACCTGCCCACTGAGTCCTATTGCCCCCTCCCCCATAATGGCTCCTTGGTGGTGTTTTCTCTTTCCTACTATCCTCACTGCTTCATCCCTTCCTTCCTGTCATCTCTCATCAAGAGAAGCAACCTTCTCCTTACTAGTTTCTGGCCTCTGCTTTCAAGAGCATCCATTAATACTACATTTTCATTACAAAGTTCATTACAAATTACATTACATTCCTCAATTATCTCTCTAAAACCTAGCTGGGTCCTGTCACTGTCCTACACAAAATCCTCCATGGTTCCTTCTTGCCTACAGGACAAAATAAATCAAACTCTTCAGCCCAACATTCAAGGCCTTTCCCAATGACCTTTCCTGTCTCACTATGTCTTTCCAGGCTGCTCGCTCTAGTTTTATTGTAAGACTCGGTGTTCCTGGGACAGGTGGGACTGCTTCTGTGCTCTGTCCCTGCTGTCCCTTTTTCCTGGAATTCACTCATCCATTTAGGCATTTAGTTCACAAATACGTTTTGAGCACCCACAACGTTCCAGGCACTGGGAATACAGGAAAGAGCAAAATTCTCAAATCACCCAGGATTTGCATTCTAGTGGAAGGGGAATAAGACAATAAACACACATGCATCCAGTAAATCGACAGGTAGAGATAGATGCTCAGATGAGAAATACAGCAGGATGAGTGCAGAGTGATGGGGGTTGCTGTTTGAGACAAGATGTTCCAAGATCCTCTCTGGATAAAAGGAAGAAAAGAAGGAAGGAAGGAAGGAAGGAAGGAAGGAAGGAAGGAAGGAAGGAAGGAAGGAAGGAGGAAAGAAGGAAGGAAGGAAGGAAGGAAAAAAGGAAGGAGGGAGGGAGGAAGGAAAAAAGGGGAGGCCTGCAGATTTTCTGCACAGAAAGCCCAGCTCCTGTCTCAACACCCCTTTCAGAGTATTTGAACAGTCTCCTTAAAGATACCTGTTAAATGTTCCGTCTTTTATAAAAGCTTTCCTTTTCCTAGACACTTTTGTATTTTCTTCCCCAGTTTAAGCCAACTCATTCTGCCTTGGGTTAGAGTCCACTGCTGACAGCTCTGCGTTCCGCTCCAGCTCTAGCAAGGAATCTACTGGCTCAACTAGTATTTGTGGAGCAGCTCCTGTCTGCCAAGCCCTGGTGTTCCCCATGGTACTCGGCTCCTGCCTGGGGTAGAGCTAGGGCTGGCGCGTCACAGACCGAAGTTCGGCGACTGCCTCTGGCTGCTGGCTGCTGGCCGGCAAGTTACTCAACCTCACTAAGCTTTGGTTTCTGTGTTTGTAGAATGGGAATGAACACACACCCACCTCTGTTAGGTATTATCCTTATCACATAAGCCTGGAGAGAAGGGTTTCAATTAGACCTACATTTCCAGGTTCTGTTGTGATTTTCTTAAGATTTTCTTATAAAAAAAGTAGTGAAAAAGCAGTTTATTAGAAGAGATAGTACATTTCAAAGAAATAGAAGTAGGCCCGAGCAGTAGAGAATGGCCCATTATTAGAAGAGAAATTACATTTCAAGAGTTTGGAGCAGGCCACGCGCAAAGGTGAGGCTCAAAAAAAGGAGGAAGGCATCCCAAAGCCCCGGACTGCCCTCCACTTGGAGTTTTTATCCCTTTTTCTCTAGAATGGGCTGTTCTATATGCTCTCTCTCTGGGGTCCCATCTTTCTTAGAGGAAGAACTTCTGCTTATTTTCTGAAATCTCGTGGACCTTGAAGAGGGTGCAGCTGGAAGGGAGGGAAGTGTTTTTGAGCACTTTGTAAAGTGACTTCCAGCCCCTCCACTACTGCCCCTAGACCTGACGGTGCTGACCTGATGACAACCATAACCTTGACCATGACCAGATGAACTCAGGGGGAGGGCTAACTGGCAGCTGCATCTTCTGCCCTCATCATCCCAGAAAGGGAGGCCTGGGGAAGGTCTGCAGACACACAGCTGCCACTTCGGGTCCATGCACAGGGGATCTACGAATTAGGGAAGCCCTGGCTTAACCCAGCAGATACGAAGGGTCAGAGTTCAGGAAAGGGAGGAAGTCTTTGGGGCTTGCAGGACCCTTGCAAAACAGCTCTACCTAGGCCCAGAGACCCGCGGAGAGTCCTGCATCACATCCTTAAGCAGGAAGAAACTCCGGAATTTTCTCTTTTTCCCAGCGGCTGGGTACTTTTCCTCTTCTCCAGTCTGGTTTCAGCTTTCCTGAGCACCTCCCTGTACCTCCACCACATGGCCACTGGGTGGCAGTGTTGGATGATCTTGGAATTTCAGGTGACAAGCAGGCTGGACAACTGGGCTCAGAGTGTGGGGGGTCTGGAAAATACCCACTCCACTCCCTGTCTGTCCTCCTAGCCATCCCTCATGTCCCGAGGCCCCGGTCCATTCCTAGATTGTTTTCACTTTTCCAGGTGCATGTTGGCTCTGCAATACAGGAAAGTTGCCAAGATAGCTCCATCTCCTCCATCGGCTACCTTCCTTTCCTCTTTTTCAAAGACAGGCAGAGAGGCTGAGTCATCTGGAACCCCAGATCTGAGTCCCCTGGACGAGATCCCGCTGCATCTCCCGGCCAGGGTTCATGCCAGTCAACAAACATATATTTGTTATCTGATATTTTTCTATCCAATTTTTCACTCACCTAATTCTATTTTCTTAGCATTCTGGGGAAGGACATACCTAAGTGGTATGTGTTCATCAGGCCTCTGCCTGTTCTTAAAGGCCCCCTTTGGGTCCCTTAGCCCATCCATAGACCCATAGAGTCTGTCGTGTCCCCCACCCCCACCCCCCACACCCAATTTTAGCCCATTTTTTTCTCTGGAGGCCTCAGAATGGAGGACGCCCTGAGTTCTCCTTGTAATGACCCTTCTTGGACTCAGAACATTGTTAAGATGCACTGAGTGTCAGGTTTGCACTGGTCTGAATTTTTTCAGGACTCATCTTTAAAGTGATTTGGCATCTCCAAAATTCCTTCCTCCCTTTTTAAACAGTGAGACATGACGGTGGGACTGCAGACTTGGGGATCAAAGAGGCCTGGGCTTGAATCCCTGCTCTGCCGCTTCCTAGAGCAGGCCACATGGCCTCCCTGAGCCTCCATGTCCTCTCAGTAAAATAGTTAGAATAGGAGTCCCTTTAGATACTAATGGTCCCATTCACTAGCCAGGGTGAAGTGGAAGAACTAGTCAAAACAAGAAGGGGTCATATATATCATGTAGTCCAGCTTTCCCATTTTACAGATGTGGAAGCTGAGGCCCAAAGAGGGGAAGTAACTTACCCAAAGTCACACACCCAAAGGTCACCTAGGTAGTGGCAAAACTGGGGCTGGAACTGCCAGGCCGATGTTCTTTTCCACAATGTCAAGTTGCTTCTCATTTGCTCTGTTCCCCTTCCCTATAGACCAAAGACAGTAAAGGAGAGGAGAGAAGGACGTGGGGTTATAGTAACAACCAGGCCCAGACAAAACAGCCACCTGAGGTCACATGAGTGGGGTGCAGCAGGGCCAGGACTCAGCCCTAGGCCTGTCTGAGTTCAGGTCTTAGCCTACTCCATCTGTTTTAAACCAGTTAGAGCCTTCAAAGCAGTTTAGTTTGATGCCAGTATAGACCCCTAGAATGGGGCAGAGGGAGGGCAGGGGAACACCCATCAGGCAGGGCATTGTGTGCCTTTTAGGACATGTAGGTTGTATCATAGCAATAGGGTAACAGTGAGGACCTCAGAGGTAAGTGACGCTGTAGGAGGACTGCTCTGGCAGCTGTGGGAGGAGAGGTGGGGGAGGGGCTAGTCTGAAAGCAGGGGACCAGGAAAGGTTGCAGCAGCTCAGCCCATGCCCTCTGGTGGCTTAAACCAGGGTAGCAGGGGCAGGACAGGGAATCCAAGAGAAGCGAACAGATGTCAAGGCCAAGTGAGTGACTGGATGTGTCGGATGTCAAGGACACAGGAACTGATAACGTTTCCCAGCTTTCTACTTTGGGCAAAAGGGCGAAAGGTGGTATCTCTCCCAATAAAGGGCTGATGGGTCTGCGGCTCTGGAGAGAGGCCTGGGCTGAAGACAGAGCACCCGGGGAACAGCCATGGGCAGGGCACAGGCCCAAGAAGCCAGGCCGAGCCATCTTTGCTCCAGATTTTGATCTGTCCCAGGCCAGCTGGGACTGAGCTGGTTCCCTCTGTGAGCCACTGGGGGCTCCACACAGACAGGAGCCAGCTGAGGTACTGGTGTAGAACAGGAATTGTCCCTCTTACAGGTGGGAGGAGGGGGCATTCAGAGTCGCCTCCACCGACATCCAGAGCATCCTGGGAAAACTGAGTGAGCCATCACAGCCTCAGAAAGGTCCTGAGTCAGAAAAGCCGAGAGGCACAGTGATTAACAGGCCAGTGTGCTCAGGAATGGCCCTCATCAGGCAGCTGAAATTACAGGTGGTCCAGGGGGTGTGGCCTGGAACACAAAAGGTATGTACCGTCACAGTTCATCCTGAACCTCTCCTACTTCCATCCCTAGCAGAGGAGACCATGGTGGCAGCGCTGATAGGGTGACCTGCTGACAGCTGACACTTCATGTTTGGTTTGGGATAGGCACTGTTCTACATGCTTTCTATTCCAGCCACACAATAACGTTTATAGGCGAGGAACTGAGTCACAGAGCTGAAACACGGTAAGCCTGGGATTAGGCCCTAGACCTGCTGGCTCCGGTTGTACTTGAACCACACTGCTCTGCCTTTGGGAGTTAATATCAGGGGTCTGATGGTGAGACAACCAGCACAGTGCCTGACCCAGAGCTGCAGCTCCAAAATGGGAGGGAGGGTCCTCCCTCTTTAGTCATCCCTTAACATATTCTTTTGTGTGGCCAAGATTCACAGTAGCATGGGATGAGAGTGTAGTAGCTAATTCAGGACAGGAGCCAAGGCCCGGGCCTCTGCACAGGAGTTCCTTAAAGGCAGCTTGGGTTAATCACAGAAGGCTTCTTGGAGGAGGCAGCCCTTAGGTAAGTAGGGGGCTGGAACGGCTGCTCATTCCACTTCCAGGGGAAGTCCTCAGACATTAGTCATGATGCACACCGGCAGTGATGACAATCACAAGAACTGTACTCTTCCACACTGACCAGGTTTTTGCTTTTCCAAGCACGTTCATACATTTTCTCCTCTCTGATCCTAACAAATAAGATTTTAATACACACTAACAATGAATATTAGTTTCCTTCCTTCTTTCTTTCCTCTCTCTTCAAACCCTGTGAAACAAGGGGCAGATGGGGGGGCAATGCTATCTTTCCTATTTTACAAGTAAATTGCGTCACAGAAAGGTCAAGTGATTGACCTTGGGTCACACATCCCTGCATGCTGAGACTAAAACCCAGATTGCAACCCTGGTCAGATGCTCTGCCTTGTACGCCCTGTGCCAGGGTGAGGGACGCTTAGCCCTCCGTCCTGCAGATGTGAGACGCATCAGCTGAGCTGGTCCAGGAAGGGGCACAGAGCAGAACCAGCCCCACTGCCCCAACTCCCTTGATGTGAATAGTTCATTACCACCAGCACCAACCCCCTTCTAAAACAGACCTCCTGTCAAGTTGGACAACCTCCACCAGATGTGTGGATAAGCATCTGCGAGCCCCGCTGGGCTGAATCCATGTTCCTCAGACCAGGAATTCAGCCCAAAGGCCTGGCCCCTGGCTGGCAGCGGAAGCAGGCAGCAGAATGCAATGGTGATTTGTGGAGTCAGCTGGTCTTGAGTTCCATCCCAGTCTCACCACTAAATTACCCTGGACAGCGACTTGTCCTCTGTGAGCTTCAATATCGTCAACAGTAAGATGGAGATGATGGCAGGATTCCCACAGGGTGGTTGCGAGGATTAAATCAAAGGACTTATGAAAAGCTGTCAGCCCGGTGCCTGGCCTTGTATTCCATGCTTCCCTGCCCTGCTTCCTGTGGGCTAGAGGGGGCGATGCTGCCACAGCACAGTGGGCGAGTGGGTTGGCTGGGGGAGCAAGTCAGCAGAGGTGGCAGTCATGCAAGGAAGGAATTCTGGTCCTCTGCGAGTGACACCTGAGAAGGGAGCTCAAGTAGTCTCCTATGTTCGTAAATTGTGGTAAGAGGAACTAAGAAACCCTCCCTCCTGCACCTGTGGTGCCGGGGTGGGTGTGGGCACACTGTCATGAACCCTTCTTTCAATTACTATAGTCACAGACCACAGGAACCAACGAATTCCGTACGTTGGGCAGGTGCAGCCACAGTCTTTCCCGCTGCCAAAGGCAAGGCATGGCCCCCAAGCAGGAGACAGACTAAAGGGGAAGGGAGTGGTTTGGGGGTTTGATCTGCCGCAGGGAAGGGACCAAGGGGCTTTCTGGTTGTTCTTTTGTGGCCAAAAATAATAAATGGTGAGTGCTATAGGGCTGGGAAGTGAGCTAACTGTGATTAAACCTAGGTTAAGCTAGCTGGCTGACCACTCTTTATAATATTTAATCCTTACCACCCTGGGAAGTAGTTTTGCTGTCCCACTCAACAAATTAGAAAACTGAGGCTCAGAGAGTTTAAATAACTCACTCAAGTTCACACAGCTGGCAAGTGCCAGAGCTAGGAATTGGGTCCAGGTGCTTTCTCACACAACACTGCGAAACCAAGAGATAGCTACCTCGGGCAGGGGCCACACCCAATGCTCCTAAACAACTAATGTTATTTCCTCCTCCAGTTCACTCCGTTTTGGTTATTGTTCATGCTTAGGCCAGGTTTTAAAGGGGGGAGGCCAATCAGATGAAACAGGGGCCAGAAGAAGACCACAAAGAGGGAAGTGAAATTCAAGGGCTGCTCAGTCTACATAAGCATTGTGGTATGGGGGCTATGTCCTAGCGTCTCAAAGCCTTCATTCAAGTCCCAGAGTCATCACTTAGTGACTTTGGGCAAGTTGCTTCACCTCTCTCTGCCTCAGTTTCCTTTTCCCTGAAATGGTACTGATGTAGAAACTACTAGAGCTGAGGACTGAATGTCCCACTGGGCTAGTGGTGCTTAGCACAGTGTCGGACACATGGTAAGCACATGTCACCAATTAGCACGATTATTAACTCTCCCTCAAGAGTTTTTCTTGTCTATGGTTTTTGTTTTAACAAAGGAGAACAAAGAAGCTATTGGGTTGCTGGGAACGTCATGAAGTATTTTTCTATGTTTTTCAATGCAAAAATGTGTCATGACTTTCTCGACGACCCAATATATAGACACAATCAAATGAGTAAGACTTTGGGGCTTTAATTGACACGAGGACCCATTGTGGCAAGAACATGGAGGAACAGCCCTGTGGTGCTGGTCAGCAGAGGCTTCCAGAAGGAGTGTGGAGTGGGGTTCTGGAGGTTAGTTTGGTGACAGAGGTGGGACGGGCTGAGACCTCAGGGAAAGTGAGGGCTGGGCGAGCTTGGAAGCAGAGAGAACGGTAAAACAAAAACCTGGTGACTGGGCAGGTTGAGAAACAGCCAAAAGCTAAGCTGGAGGTGGGGGCTAGGAGGAGAGTTTCACAGGGGAACAGAGTGGAGAAACCATCATTCATGGAGGATCCACTGGGCGCTCAACTGCTTACATAAACAATTTCACCCTTATAACAGCCCATGAGATATCCTCATTTTGCAGACGAGGACACTAAGATTCAGAGATGTGAATTAATTTGCCTAGTAACTGTCAGGCTTCCAAAACACCCCCGCCGTACTTTGGCTGGGACATTGACGGTCCAACTTCAAGGGTCCTGAAACCAAACCAGCCCTACCTTATGGTCATCTGCCCTTCCAGACCACCCCCTACAGCTCTGGGTAGACTCCCCGGATGAAACGCCAGGATCCCACAGAGGTGGACCTTGTGGGCTCCATCACAAGCTACAGACCTAAAGAGGAGGTTCTCTGAGAATGGAGGGCCCAGAAGGAGCCTTCCTGGGACTACAGCCCCTCTGCATTGCAGTCTGGGTTCAAGGAACCCCTGTTTGGAAGAGGGATTCTGACTGGGATCTGAAGAACAGAGCTGGCAGGGGTTGGGGTCGGTGGGTGGGAGTCATCCAACCCTCTCAGATACCGTCTGAGCAGAGGGCAGAGTTAACGTCCCAACACACACTCTTCCCAAAGCAGAGCGCATCCTCTTAGGCCCACCCCAGAGTCCATTTTCAGAGTCCCGTGGGTCAGCTGGTTTTGTAAGGCCTGCGAGGGGGGCCCGTTTGGTGAGTAGCTGGCCGCTGTAGGTCCCCCAGCTCTCCCTGCCCGGGCCCTGGGGGAAGGGGTCCGGAGGACCGGCTCTGCAATTCTGCTGGTCCCTGTGGCGCCTCCCGGTGCGGGCAAACGCAGCAGCAAGTTTCTGCCACACCTCGCCCCGCACCTGCTGCATTTCCGCGCGAAGCCAAAGCCGTGGCTGGGTAAGAGGGAGGTGGGGAGGCGGCCCTGGAGGAGGGGCGAGGCGGCACAAGGGGGCCAGCAGTGGGCCTCCAGATTCTGTCTGGCAACGCCGTAATGAGAGCAGCCCCTCTCCCTCGGGCCTGGGATCACTGCTACCGATTGTTTCCTCCTTGCCTACTTCATTATGCGGGCAGGAGCCCCTGCGGACCGCTCGTCAACTTCTGCCCCCTGCTTCTCAGCCCCGGCAGCACCCAGCTGAGCTCTCCACGCGGCTCTGGTTAGTAAGCTGGGCTCTGCCAAAGAAGGGGGTGTTTTCCTGATGGGGTGGGGGCCGAGACCCCGGCACCCAACCAGGGGGCCAGCGCGGTGGTGGCGGCGGGCGCGCACCTCGCCAGCGCCGGCCCCCGTCGGCCCCTTTAATTCGAGTTCGCGGCCGGGCCAGGTGCGGCGCTGCGTGGCGCGGTGCGGCGCGGTGCGGCTGCGGGCGGCGGCCGGGCGCTCTGTACGCGCCGCCCGCGGGACTGCAGAGCCGGCTCCCGGCTGGCCGCCCGCATCCTGCCGCCGCTGCCGCCCGCCACCGCGGTAACGCCGGCGCTTGCGGTCACCCAGAAACATGGAGGCTCCGGGTGCCCATCGGGAAGGGTAAATCGGGGTCGGGGCTTTGGGCTGCGCGTGCTGCGTCCCCGGTCCGGGCTGCGGCGCCCGGAGGAGCTGCGGGGCACCAGGCGGTGCAGCCTGCAGCGTGGCGGGCTCGGGCTGAGTCCCCGGCGGGCGGGCTTCGGCCGGACCGGAGCGGGCGGGGGGTGGGGGACGGGAGCCCTAAGGAAGAAGAGGGCACCAAATGGGCTCGGGGACCCCCCGGGCTGTGCGTGGCGCGGGGCGGAGGGCGCAGCGAGGAGCTGGCGGCCGGTGGGAAGTGCCGCTGACAGCATAGCCATGTCTGGTAAATAGCGCTGGTTGGTGGGACCCGAATCACTTGGGACGGCTGGGCTGCAGGCTCTTCCCCGGCTCGGAATCAAAACAGCGTTGCGGCGACGGGCTTTTCCGCTTCCCTGGGGCCGCGGGCTGCTGTGGAGCCCCCGCGCTCAAGAGGAAGCTGCGATCTGGGGCAGCCGCCTGCTCCCCACCCTCCAGAGTTCAGGCTCCAGTGTTTCCGAGTGGAGATGGAGCCTCGGCGGTCCCTCGGCTGGACCCCAGGGGCAAAAGAGCTGGGCTGCGCTTGGGCCTGCAGCGAGAGCCCCCCGAGCCGGGCAGGAGCGGGTTAAGGCCGCGCTGACTGCCGTGGCCAGCCGGCGGGTCTGGGCCGCCCGCGCAGAGCCCAGCGCTGAGCGCGCCGGGCGGAATCCCGGTCAGAGCTGGGAGCGATGTTGAGAGGACCCAGACCCCTCCCCACCTCGGGGCCGGCGGGATAGAGCCGGCAGGGCGCCAGCTCGGATGCCGGCCTCATCCAGGCTTCCCTCTCGCTGCTGCCAAGCCTCCTGACAGCCAAGCTGGCAGAGCGTCCGTTCTGCGCTCCCTGCCGAAGAGATGGGAGGGATTCTTTTCTTGGGGAGAAGTCGGTGGTCGAGCGCCTGCCCGGTTCAAATGCCACCCACCGGAGGGAGGCCTGCAGCCTAGGGATCCCCAAGGGAGAATCAGTCCTGGGCCCCAGCCAGCCAGTTTTGTAGAGCGGACCTTTTTGTGTGAGGAGTCTCCCTAGATGAGCTCTGAAGGAGTATGTGTTGGGAGGGATTTGGGGGGGACTCTCTTTCCTCCAGGACCTTGAGGAGGCCCGAGTTTGTAGTATGCTACAGTCTAGGAAGCCCTCTCTTGCAAGATGCTGTGTCCTGACCTGGGGGTGGGAGGGCTTTGCCCAGAGTCCCTCTTGATGGCTGCTGAGGACCAACAGGGAGGGGATCTGGCTCAGCCCAGAGAGGCCTCTGGAGGAGACAGGCTCAATCAAGCCTGAAGGCTGGTTCCCTGTGAGAAAATGCTTCCAGCAGATGGAAGCCTGCCCAGAGGAGGCTGGGAGGCTGAGGGCTAGTCTCAGATGTGACAGCAGAATGGAAGAGGGCATGGAAGAGAAGCTGCCAGAGCCCTCCTAAATCTTGGCACCAGCTGCCCGAAAGCCCTGGTTCCACCTGGCCGCTGTTTTTTCCAGGCAACGTCACACCTCCTGAGGACAGCCAGGAGGACTCCAGCTTTTGCTGACCTTTGCATCTCATCTCCTTCCTTCCAAAGGCTCCAGACCCAAGCTCTGCTGTCCTCGTGTCCTGCGAGCCCCTGACCAGGCACCCCACCGCCTCTCCAGCCTAGCTCAGCCCTGGAGCTCACCTCCAGGACCTGCAACCTGCCCTCCTGCCCAGAATGACTCACCATTATTTCCAGCTCAAGTGTGAAGACATGATGGGGAGTCAGGCTGCCTGTTTCTGTATCTAAAGTCCGTCAGCATTTGATCGGCTCTGCAAGGAAGAGAGGTTCAGATCCCTGCCTTGCCAGGTAAATTAGTCTGTCATTTAATAACAGCCACGTGTGGAATCATTTGGGTGGGGGCAGTGAGGGAGACCCAGGTCCCAGATTCACCACTGCCAGTATCTCCCAGGGTGCAGGTATCTGCAAGATATTATTTTGGTACCTGGGGGAGGGCTCCCTTCCAGCTTCCAGTATGGGGCTATGCTCCCTGAACCCCATGCAGTGCCGAGGGGGCCTGGACTGCCACCTTCCTCGAGTGCAGGGCATTCTAGAGCTTTCTTGAGAGATTGCCACCACCTTCCCTGTGATCCCCAGCCAGCTTACGAGGTGAAAGTAAATTGTGCTTTTTGGTGGTGGTTGTAGTGGTCATGTTTCTGAATGCTTGGCTGAGAGATGGGAGACTCAAACTGGCAACTCAGGCCGGGTGGCCAACACGGAATGGTCTCATGTCCTTAACTGCCTTGTCTTTCAGCCAAGCGAGGCTATCTCTGCGGCTCTCAGAGAGCCCTCGGGGCTCTCCCGCAGGAGCCCAGGCCCATGCTCCTGTGCTTCCTGGAGCCATCTGCAGCACCCTGAGCTCCCTGCTGCCAGGCAGCTGGAAGGCATAGCGTGAGGCACCTCTCCCAGTCCCAATTATGACAGTGGCTACCGGAGACCCAGCAGATGAGGCTGCTGCCCTCCCTGGGCACCCGCAGGACACCTATGACCCAGAGGCTGACCATGAGTGCTGTGAGAGGGTGGTGATCAACATCTCGGGGCTGCGGTTTGAGACACAGCTAAAGACCTTAGCCCAGTTTCCAGAGACCCTCTTGGGAGACCCAAAGAAGCGGATGAGGTACTTTGACCCCCTTCGAAATGAGTACTTTTTTGATCGGAACCGCCCTAGCTTTGATGCCATTTTGTACTACTATCAGTCCGGGGGCCGGCTGAGGCGACCTGTGAATGTGCCCTTAGATATATTCTCTGAAGAAATTCGGTTTTATGAGCTGGGAGAAGAAGCGATGGAGATGTTTCGGGAAGACGAAGGCTACATCAAAGAGGAAGAGCGGCCTCTGCCCGAAAATGAGTTTCAGAGACAGGTGTGGCTGCTCTTTGAATACCCAGAGAGCTCAGGGCCTGCCAGGATTATAGCTATCGTGTCTGTCATGGTGATCTTGATCTCCATCGTCAGCTTCTGCCTGGAAACGTTGCCCATATTCCGGGATGAGAATGAAGACATGCATGGCGGTGGAATGACCTTCCATACCTATTCCAACAGCACCATCGGGTACCAGCAGTCGACTTCCTTCACTGATCCTTTCTTCATCGTAGAGACCCTCTGTATCATCTGGTTCTCCTTCGAATTTCTGGTGAGGTTCTTTGCCTGTCCCAGCAAAGCCGGCTTCTTCACCAACATCATGAACATCATTGACATCGTGGCCATCATCCCCTACTTCATCACCCTGGGGACGGAGCTGGCCGAGAAGCCAGAGGATGCCCAGCAGGGCCAGCAGGCCATGTCGCTGGCCATCCTCCGTGTCATCCGGTTGGTAAGAGTCTTTAGGATTTTCAAGTTGTCCAGACACTCCAAAGGTCTCCAGATCCTAGGTCAGACCCTGAAGGCCAGCATGAGGGAATTGGGCCTCCTGATATTCTTCCTCTTCATTGGGGTCATCCTTTTCTCTAGTGCTGTCTATTTTGCTGAGGCTGATGAGCGAGATTCCCAGTTCCCCAGCATCCCGGATGCCTTCTGGTGGGCAGTCGTCTCCATGACAACTGTAGGCTATGGAGACATGGTTCCGACTACCATTGGGGGAAAGATCGTGGGTTCCCTATGTGCAATTGCAGGTGTGTTAACCATTGCCTTACCGGTCCCTGTCATAGTGTCCAATTTCAACTACTTCTACCACCGGGAGACAGAGGGAGAGGAGCAGGCCCAGTACTTGCAAGTGACGAGCTGTCCAAAGATCCCATCCTCCCCTGACCTAAAGAAAAGTAGAAGTGCCTCTACCATTAGTAAGTCTGATTACATGGAGATCCAGGAGGGGGTGAACAACAGTAACGAGGACTTTAGAGAGGAGAACTTGAAAACAGCCAACTGTACTTTGGCTAATACAAACTATGTGAATATTACCAAAATGTTAACCGATGTCTGATTGAAACTTATTAACATACAGCTCACCGGAACTAATGCAGACATTGCATAATAGCCTGCATTGTAGTCATTGTGTTCTACAGTGTGTATCTGGTTCTGCATGGAAAGCAATAGTTGTGCAAGTGACTTTCGATCTTTCGATTTTTTTATTTAGAACACAGAATACCTATCCATGGCTTTCATGCGAATCTTCATCACCGGCTTAGGGGTTTCCAAAGATGGGAGTCACCTATGGAGCCAGGATTTTGAGGCCACCTCGTAGCACATACGTAACCTACCATATCAGTGCCACCTTTCCTTCCTACTTAAATGCACACAGCACTCCACCACCCACCCATCTGAGTCCACCTTCCCCTTCACGGAGGAAAACTATGGAGGCTTAGCTTGGAAGTGCTGGTAATTATTCGAAAAGCTCATTCCCATTTTTGCACTGAAAAGTACACACCATCCTGTGTGTTGGAACTCCTTTCTGTGTCACAGGCTGGGGTTTGCATTCGAATTGTAGTTGCCAAGTAGCTGCTTGGGAGGTTTGTGTTTCATAACGGAAAAATGCTGCATTTGGTTTTTTCTCTGCAGTGTCGATGTGAGGGAAGCCCGGGGGAGGGACAGTTAGTATGACCGAATGTGAGTTGTCAAGTTTCACATTTGCTCCCTGAGGCCTATGGGGAGAAGCTAACAAACCAAGGGACCTCTCAGCTTCAGATTTCACCATTTTGCAGGCTTCGGGGTCACAAAAACGCGTCTGACTTCTTCGTCACACTGGAGTTTGCAGACATCTGCTTTCCTAGTGCTGTGGCCCAGCTCCACGGACACTGCAGTGAAATCTTCCAGTGATGCAATAGAGCTGCATGGGTGTTTGTTGCATGAATCTCAATATATAAAACAGGAAATAACCTATTTTCTTAGTAGCCTACACAGTATTCATATTTAGAGTATTAATATCCTAGGAATGACATTGAACTAAGGGTTTTTTCCCCCCACCTGAAGACAGAAGCCCTCAATCAGGAGGGAAAAAAAATAGACTATTTGGAATGGGGACCCAAAACTTCTGGCCCTCCAGCCCACCCCATCCGCGTTCTTCCAGTTGGGGGCGCAGACCTCTGCAAAGCCAGGAGAGTAAGCAGGGAAGGTAGCGTCTAAACACCTCACAATGACTGTATCTTAGGAATTTACTGAGCCATGGGCATGACTGTACAGCTGACCAGGGCACCTGGCCCTGAGGAAGGCGGACCTGTGGATCCAGTGTACATAAATATATATCGGGTATTTCCTTCACAAGTTCCTCTACCTAGCTAGCTATCGGGGGAAAAACATTGCATTTGAACCTTGTATAAGCTTATGCAATATTTTTGACACAGGGCAATTTATGCATGTGTTTGACTATGTGCACTAGTGTATGTATATGTACACATATACATGCATGTGTGTGTATGTTTATATGCACACACACTCACATATATATTCATTTCTCTGGAGTTCAGGTTCAGGCAAATCTACTGCTTGGTGGGGTTGGTTATCTAAGCGGCCTAATGAGTTCATTGATCTCATTGGAACCTCACTGGGCCTGGGTTTGCTGCCCTTGCCTCAGACACTCCAGTCTCCATGGATTCTTAGATGTTAGAATTCTCTTTCTGCCCTCCATGTGCTGCGGCTTCAGTTTCCCATGGCTGAAGCTTGTCTAACCGAGTGCCCAGGGCCCTATGGCCCTCACAGCTCCAGCTGTCCTGGGTGAGCCCCATCCCAGGCCTTCTCTCTACAGTCCCTCATGTTAACCATCTCCATTTTCATCTTTCCCCACCTGTTTGGTTTTTACTGTCATTTAGCTCTGCATCAGTTATTTTTGTGAACCTTTCCCTAAAGGGCCAGAGCACATCGCCTTCTTTGAAACCAAGGACACCAAGGAAGAGGGCTTTTGAGGACCTGATTCCACAGGTCTGGGCTTAAAGGGAGCCTCTTCTATGTGGAAACTTCTAAAGTCCAGGACCAAAGGGTGGAATCCCTAGATGGCCCACAAGCATGATTTTAATCGACAAGCTCAAACTCTCTCCCCATTAAGCTAGCCACCAGAGCTGCTTCAATAAACCAAAGGATGGGTAGCGAATCGGTCCCCAGCCCCAGAACAGGTGAGCGTAAATGAGCACTGCACAGCCTACAGGTACAGGTCAGGCTGGCTCTGGAGTGGGGTGAGGTGGGGAGGCTTTGCCTCACAGCCTGGGCTTCTTTACCTTTCAACATAATAGCTGAAATTTTCCAAACACAGTGAGTTGGCTGGGGGGCTGCCAATGGTGGCTCCAGCCCTAACCTCACTGTTTGCTATTTAGTACCTACAGCTACCTTGGGGGTGGGGCACCAGCTAAGGGTGCTAGGCCCAGGGTGCTCGTTAGTTCCTGGTCACCCACATCCCCAGGTGTCTGCAGGGCATCCCAGGCCCAGTGCAAAGCCTTTGCTCCTCATCCTCTCCTTCTTGGGAGGTGGTGCTGAGTTTCCATGACATGGGGCAGGAGGGACCTAGACCTTAGGAAAAGAGATGGTAAAACCACCCATACCTAAGGCCTCGGTCAGGGGGTATATCTTTTACCCCTGTGTCCTTGACCTGGGACTATAAAATGTTCACATGCATAGGCACACATGCATGTACACCCACCACAAAAGAGATAGGTACACTGTTGCCATACACAAAGACAAAACATGCAACACACATGCAAAATACATAAAGACCAGATTAACAAAAAGGGCACACACAGAAGATACATGTGCATATCAAAATATGCACATCCAGCACAAACGTAGAATGTGCTCACCAATACAGGACACACACAAAAGACCTACATACATCATGTGTGTAGATACAACCTGTGACTCATGCAAAATACACAAAAACTACATGAACACAAGGAGTCTGCATACAAAATATATAAATATATATAAAAATATATATTCCTATTGTTCCTGCACACAAAGTACAAACGACCCAGTTTATACACACAATACACTTACTCTTACAAAGCACACAAAATGTAGCACACACACCCAAGAACATACACACACAATTCATACGAAATGTGCGCTTACTCAGATCCATTGCTCTGCCCCCAGGGCTCTAAATTAATAGGCATAAACAAAAGATCAGAGTTAATCACATTTTGCTAGCCTGCATCTACACTCCTCCATGTCCTTCTTGAAGTCTTCTCCTCTAGCCTCTTCTCTCCCTCTCACCCAGATTTCACAGAAGTAACCCCCAATGTTTAAAGCAGAAGGATGGGCTACCGTGGTCAAGCAGATCCCTGATTAAGACTGGAAACCTCACAGGGGTTTCTGCCTATTAACCTTCTTCCCACGAGAAACCTGGGTGCAGAATGTGGAAGGACCTGGAACAACTGGCAGGTTATTAACATACACCTTGCCATGCCCTTTCCTTCAAAGCCAGTTCCACTCAGAACCCAATAGCCCAGGCTCTCCTGCTCCCAACCCCTGAGATCTCTGTAGTCAGAACCACTCTGTTAAAAACAGTGATGACTCAAGACACTGCAAGGCTCAGAACCAAAGTGAAGATGCCCCCAACGTCCTCTCAGTCCACAGACCTTATTGTCCCATCATCCCCAGTGGCTGTGTCAGGACTGGGTCTGAAAGCAGAGACCACACATAGATTTATCTCTTAAAATGAGCTGCCTTTATGTGCTTGTGGCATCTCATTTGCTCGTGGGCCCACCATGCTCAACTCCTGAGTCCCCTCTATGGGTGTTCAATCCCAGGCATGCTCCTCCCCCTCTCCGGGGATCCATCCATCTGGGTGCCCTGCCTCCCATCCAATTGTTGCGCCTTGACGAAACGCACACCAATTCAGTTTAAGCAAAACATGACTGAGGACATAAACCTAATGCTACACAAGCAAATAATTTTTAAAGGGCCTGATTCGTATCCTATATGGTAAGGCCTGATTTAAATGCTTTGTAAGATTACCCACTGTTTTGGATTATCTGCGGAGCTGGTTCTTCCCACTAGTAGGACTAGCTGAGAACAGGGTACGTTTTGGCAAAGGCTTCCCCTCAAATTGAAGTTGGAGGTTGAAGTCAGGTGTCAGATCAGGCATCGCAGTCTCTACTCCTGCGGCCATCCCAGGTGGGTCCCATGCTTCCCTCCTAATGCCGGTCACAGCTCCTGACCTCCATGGAGGAGGCAACAGGGAATGGAAAGATGGGTCCAAATTTGCACATTTAGTGCAACGTGCTGGCCTTTCAAGATTTTCCAAGTCAAGATAGTGATTTTCTCTTTCATTTCAGCAGGTGCCTCCATGCGTTCAACCTTTCAAGGAGGTTGGAGTCTGCAGGAAGCTAAAGAGAAAGGTCCAGGAAGGATGGGGAGGTGGTCAGGAAGAGAGGGTAACTGAGCTGGTCAAACTTCTGAGTGAACTTTTCAGGGGCCTAAATTTAATTAAGGACATAATTAAGGCTCAGTGTTTCCTGAAGGCTTCTGGGGTGTTTGACACACTGTCCTCCTTCCTCTGCTTCCCTCTGTCCCTCTCAACTGGGCATCTGAGGATGGAGTAGACATGTCATCAGGAGGTGAACCTTTAAAAAGAGGTCCCAAGAGAGTGTGCCTCCAGACCCCATTGGCCTCATGTGGAAAGAGCTCCCCTAAAAGCTTTGTTGGCCTGAACCCCTAGCCTGGGTGCCCGTGTGGCTGCCCCATGTGGGGAGAGCTTGTAGGACTTTCTTGTCTTATCTGCTTTTTCTGGATCTCTCACTCCATTGTAGTGAGGTCTGTGGCCAACTGACTTCCTCATGATCAGCCATAAAATATCAGTGCCAACCCATGTTGAGAAAGGGCAGTGCCCTCTGAAGATTCTCGGGCTGGGGTTTCAGTGCTGCCCACAGTAGTAGAGAAGAGAGGCGGAGTCTGACTTTCCCCGAAGGAAACTATAGGACAGTTTGCGAATTGCATGTGAGGGTGACACCAATCTCGCCTTGGCAGACAGGAGGAGCACAGTGCTTTGAATTGTTAACCCAGGAGTGGGGATTGGGAGCCCTGCCCCAGTTCCAGCTCTCCTGGGGCCCATTGCCATGAGCCTTCACTGGGTGATGGCTGCCTAGTCGGAAAGGGCTGGTCCACATAGGCTGTAATGTTCAGGGAGCAGAGTCCCCCGGCCTTGGCAAAGTGTCCATTGCCAGGTCTGAACCCATGACCTTAACCTTATTAACATCATTAGACATCTGAGCCAACTGGCAGGGTGCTGGATGCAGGACGGT